GTTAAGACCATGGAGGATGAATGCCTTAGAGATCGCCTCTCCTGGAGTTGATATGCAGATCTTTTTAGTATTCCCCATTGCTCTTATGGTGGAAAGTTCCATGTAAAGGAGTGGAAGGGCTCAGTGATATTGTTCCATCCAGTGTTTAAAACTATTGTCAGATATTCTTTTAAATAAAACTATTAGCCACATGGTGATTGCAAAACACGATTGCTTTTAAGAGCCTTTGTTTACAGTGTTTGGCTTATTCTATTGTGTGAAGAGTGCCTTTGACTAAGTGTAGTGAGATACCTCTTGGACAAGTTTGAAAATTAGGGGTATTATCTTGAGAGTTTTATCCTAGCGTTTTACAGATTAACAGGAGACAGAATGTTTTGCTACTCCAGGTAACAAGCGTTTTGTTTTGTAACCCTTTAAAGTGTTGGTTTTCTCCCTTTTGACACTCAGGGGATTAATTTACTATTGATTTCTCTAGATCATACCCTTAGAGAAAACATGAAAATACAAATAGATCTTCAGACTGGTGTAACCATTTTTTCTTATAATGAGGCATTTTAAAAATAAAGTTATATGAATTAATGCTATTATTTCAAAGCTTAAAAATAATAACAAAAATCCAATGAACAGTGCAGCTCTAACATTACAGATTGCAATATTGAGTTAATATAATTAACTACCTTACAGACAATAATAATAAAGACTCGCTGGATGAAATGGTGGCACACAGGGGAAGTTTGTATGTATTTTAATTTTCATTCATTTATCAACTTCTCAAACCTCAAATACAAATGCAACCAGCTTTGTTATTGGAAGCTGATTGACCAATTTATGCCTATTAATAATGAAAATTTAGTGCTATCTTTTTCATATAGCACTTTTGTATATGTATTATATCTTAATCAAACCGAGGTAAACATTACCATCCCCACTTTAAGATTAAAGAAACTAGCGCTGGGACAGATGAAGTTTTTTGCCCATGGACAAAGTAACTAGAATCTAGGCTTCTGATATCAGACCCATTGCTATTTTAGTGTTGCCCATGTTAGCAATTTTTCAGATTGATGGAAAATAGCATAGAGGATTATTTCTAGCCAACACCTTCATTTTCTCAGTGAATAAACTAAAATGCACAGTGGACTTTACCTTAAGGTTGCCAGACAGACTTCCTCAGAGGCCCTCTGTCCCCCAACCCTCCAGCTCACTCCCCCCACCCACCACCACCACCACCACCCCTCTCTCAGCTCTTAATGACCTGAAGAAAAGTGCCTGGGCCTTTTCCCTATTAAGAGTTTTTACCTCAGAGAAATCGTCAAAAGATAAGATACATGGAGGAGTTAGAAAAGCAAACAAAAAAAAATTAAAAATAAAATTTATTACAGTCATGCTCTTATCTCAGATTCTTCACCAGAGACTCCAACTCTCTGATTTTATTCTCGAAGGGGCAATCTTGACCTTTCTCTTTGCTTTCTTAAGCTTACAGAGCCATTAAGTCCAAAGAGTCGATTTTTGTGCCAAGCATTCATTTAAGTACTTTACATGTATTAACTTAATTAATCCTTACAATACCTTCATAAATTAGGTACTAATACTGAGCCACAGATTAAATAGCTAACCTAGTTCACAGCTCATGGTGGCACTAAAATTCAAACCCAGCCTATTAATTTCAAGGCTAAGATTTTTAACTGCTGGGCTCTGCTGTTTTGAACTAGATGATTGTTTATCTTAAGTGGATAAATGCATTTTTCAGGATCTTCAGAATGGATGAAATTCCTTTCCTAAGACTCCCAATGGTTACAAAAAAAAAACACCAAAAAAAACCAGATTTGGGGACATTTCCTTAGGATTTTATTATCCCATTTTACAGATGAAGTTAAGTGATTTGGCCAAAATCTCTGTTTATTAAGTGGCCGTATTAGAACTAGAACTTGGTTTCCTCTGGTTTCTAGCACACTTGCTTTTGGCACTATAAAGTAACACTGTCACTTTTTAGCTCATTAGCTACTTCGGTTCAAGTGATCCAGCCATGCTGAAATTTTGTTACAGCAGCAAAAGCATGTCCACATCTTTCACTCACAATTCAGTGCAACTTTGTGTCTTTCCTGGGATACATTTAGGTCAGCATATAAGCCTCTGGTTTTACATGGTTTTAGTGTTTATACCTTATGGAGGGACAGGTGAAGAAATAGGAATGGAAGTCCCTTATGGATATAAGGGACATCTATTACTTTAAATTTTTTTTAATGCTTTAACATCTAATTCCATAAAAATTTAATTTGGTCATAGCTAATACTCAAGAGCCAAATTAATGTTTTAGGATATTCGTACTTCTGAACCTTGAAATGGTAAGCAAATGACATGACAAAATCCATTTCAAATCGAACTCAAGCAAGAGTATAAGGAAATGCAACGATTTTTCTTCAGGGATTTTTGTGCAGGGGTTTTTTGTGTGTGTGTGTGTTTTGTGGTTTTTTTTGTTTTTTTTGGTTTTTGTTTTTTTTTTAGAGAAAGCCCCTTCTGACTTCATGTGGAGTAGAAAACTAGCTTAGTTTATTTCTTGCTGCTCCATCTAATTTGGAATCATTTTTGAAGCCTTAAATGCTTGGGTACAGAGAACTTGCTCCCTAGAGCCTTGTTTCCTGAGTAGAGGGTAAAGGATTAAATTGAGCTGAAACTAAATTGATTGACGTTTTGACACTGCAGATTGTGAAAAGAAAGGGAATTTGTTCAACTTTTTAAAACAGTAGTAGAAAGCACTATTTCCTTAAAGATACCCCAGTCTGCAAAGATGATTTAATTTTTTTTCTTAAAAAACCAAGAGGCATGTTCTAGCACTTTTCCAATTTTCTATATTACAGCTCAAAGTGAGAATCTCACTTTGAAAAGCTTTTGAAAAGGCCTGGATAGGGGTGTTAAAATAGTCTCCTTCAATGAACAGGCACTGACAGAGGTCTTTTGAGGGGAAACAAAGGACTATGCACTCTGGGGTGTCACTATAGGAACCTGTTTATGAAAGACAAGTATACATATTTATGAAATCTTTAGCATTTTTAAGTGTAAGAGAGATTAAGTGTGAATTGAGTAAAATACATTTCCTGCTGACTTCTTTTTTTTCAGACAGATATAGATGATTACCATGCCATCATCTTTCCTAAAAGGCACCATTTGGTGTTGACTTCAATAAAATCGTCTCTCTGCTGTGTCATGAAAGGAGCTGGACTTACCTTAACAGTGCTGTTCCAAACAGCCTGCTTCCCTTTTTTGATCACTGCAGGACGTTGTAATAAATTACAGCCTGGAAGAAGTTTCAAACTGGCAAGTTTTCCAGATATTTAAAGCAATTTATTTTGGGGTGTATCAGCAGATTTTTTTCTCACACTGCCATTCGGGTGCCTGCTGACGCAGCCTGAACAAACCTTCCAAACATTTTCCCTCCTAGAGATGGATGAAGATGATAATGCATTGACTCCAAGAGCCAGACCTTTCATTAACCCCTCATGTGCCGATCAGTTCCTTCTTATTACTAGATCTGTAGGAAACTTAGATATCTGTTTCCAGTATGAGTTTGCAATATTTCAAGTCCCTCAGTGCCTTGGCAACAACTCTTTTAAGTTTTATGGAAGGATCGGCCAACAAAAGAGTGAGTCTGGTTTTAGGCATAGACTTTATAGGTTAGATTATTTAATTACTAAGATTTTTGAGACTTGCCAAACTTCCCAATAGGAAAAGACATCTGAAAATGTATACGAAACAAAGACTGATAGCAGGGACTTCTTGCTAATTTTAGTTTCTTTTCTCTTATAATTGGATAGTGAAATCGTTTTTTAAATTATTATTAATTTTTGGCTGTGGAATTCCTAAGGCAGCTTTATTGATATATATTTCAATCAAGTATTCAGAACAGCTAAAAATACTGGTGCCTAAAAATATTTGTTCTGACGAGATTGGGAAGGCAAAAGATAAGCTAACTTTTATTGAGTGCCTGCAAGGGGCCAGCCGTTTCTGTAAGCTGCTACGTAGCAATAGCGAGTGGTAGAGAGACACGAGTTTCTCATTTTACAAGAAACTGGTTTCTGGTCAGGTGAAAGGCAGTGCTCACTGAGTTGTTAGGAATATGATAAAGCCTTCAACTCATGAAGGCATCAGATGGAAATAGGGTTTGGTGGAAAAGGCCCTAGATCAGGAGTCATAAAACTGGAGTTTTCCTATCTAAGTGACATCAAACAAGGTCGTCTGGCTAGACTCTGGATGTTTATACATCTGTGAAGTGAAGATATAATCTCTCTACCCTGTCTTCCTCTCTGGATCACTTGGCACCATATAGTTCTCAAACCACAGCTGCACAGTGGACTCACCTGGGGAGTTTTGAAAAGTACCAGAGCTAGATCCCAACTTCAAGAGATTGCGATTGATTGGTCTGGGGTGCAGCAGGACATTGGGATTTTTTTTTAACGCTCCACAGGTGATTCATGTGTGCGGCTAAGGCTGTGTGTGAATCCTTGGTTTGGACGGTGGTTAGGAAAGCCCTTTGTAAATTTATTTACAAGGGTTAGCAGATGTTTTCGACTGTGTAGTTTTTTTTTCCCTTTTACATCGTAACTTCAAATATTTTGCTTTAAAAAAAAATCCAACTCATCCCTGAATTTCCCGTCTTTACTACATAGGAAGCCGTTGACGAATATTTGCTGCATTTGTGAATGTGCATCCTTACAAATTTTAAAATCATTTGAAAAATGGGGTTTGTTTAAGTTTCAATGTATAGAGCTGGACCTTCTGCTGAAACATTCCCCAAAAGCGCGAGCGTTTCTTGCTCATCCAGCTCGCTTCACTGTCTAGCCCAAGCCACGGTATCAGGGGACCGATCCTTGCCCCCCAGATCCGGACGCACGCAGCAGGATCCGGTGGGTGCCACGAACTCCGGGGCGGGGCGCCGGCAGGGCCGACCCTCCGCGCCCGCCAGACCCACCCCGTAGCGGCGCCCCGCCCCGGACGCGGGTTGGGGCGGGCTGCTGGCGGCGCCCGGCTGCTGGGACTCCACAGCCGAGCCCAGGGGCTGCGGCGACTGCCTTCGCGCGACCCGGCGGGCCCAGCTCGGCCGCCGGGAGCCCGCGCTGCCCGCGCCTCCTGCCTGGCGGAGCCCAACGCGAGCGCCTCGTACCCGAGCCAGATGGGGGGCAGGATGCGGACCTGTGCACCTTGAGCCGGCCTCATGACCCTGAGCACGTTGACCCGCGAAAGGAAGGCGCCTCTCGCCTGCACCTGCAGCCTCAGTGGCCCCGACATGATCCCCTACTTCTCCGCCAACGCGGTCATCTCGCAGAACGCCATCAACCAGCTGTGAGTGCACCGTGCGCCCTCCCAGCCTCCGCGAACCCTCAGAAAGTTTGCTTTTCAGCAGTCGCTTTCCCCAGCATCCTGGCGAGCAAGCGAGGGCGAAAATGCACCCTGCGTGCTTGGAGGTCTCGGGGTGCCCGGGGGTGGTCGCGGGGTGGAGATCTGGGGTAATTATTGGAGGCAGAAAGTGTCCCCCGGGGATGAGCGGACAGAGACTCCTTTGCGAGAATTTCTGGTAAACTTTGAGGGAATCTGAAAGTGGGCTCGTCCCAAGGAAGTTGTGGTGACCGAGTGACAGCCGAGTTGTGTGGCATTCGGGAGACTCGGGGTGAAGGGTCGTCTGTAGATTCTGAACCGCCGGCCGGAAACGTTAGGACTCCCTTGAGGGTCCTGGATCAAGCTCCCGTGTTGTTCTGTTTTTTAGTTTCAAATAAGTTAGCGTGTGACCATAGGTTTCTGTTCGAAGCGGTTCACACAAAGAAAGGCAGTCAGTTCATTCTTTGCTCCCGCTGGTTGTAGCCTGGAGTTATTTCAGAAAACTGTATTTCAGTAGTTAGGCTGTTTTTTGTTTTCTTTTTTGGTTCTTTTCTTTTTTTTGTCTCCCCGTTAGTAATACATGCTCTCAATCCAAGCCTGCATGCACACCTTCACGCACTGAAGTGCAAGATTCAAGCGCATGTTTAAATCATGTTTAAAGTTTCAGGAGTTGTTGTCCTCCTTTTACATTTGTGGTTTAGCCATTTCTGAGAACTCTGCTGAAGTTTGTGGTTAATGTCACCTCACAGCTAAAAAGTACAAAATACAGGAACTCCCATGTATTCACGCTGCATTCTTAGACCAGGGGAGTGGTTTAGGGTTACTTTAGATAGCAGCAGTTTGGTCTTCATAGTGTATTAGCGCTCACTGCAGAGTGTAGTAGCACTGGAGAATCACCTACTGAGGTTTCTCCGGACTCCTGGCACTTAAGCAACCCTTCTGCCTTCCTCCCAGGTCAGCCCTGGAGAACTTTTAAATTTAATGTCCAACAACAGGAACTTTCCATTATCTCTTATTAAAGGTCCCAACAATAGCATGTAAAGTGATTTGTAGATAATCTTACATCTACTTTATTTTAATTAATGGTTTGCACTCTTACCAAACCAAATTAAACTAATTTGAGTTTCAGCCTTTTCCTTTCATGTCGATTCATGGTGGAGCTCCTAAAAAAATCGCCCCCCAAAGTGGTTTTACTGCTCAGTACTGTAAACTACCAAATTAAATCAACTGCTTACTTGTATTTTCTCTTAAAGAAAAAGGATAACTGGAGTGAAAGAGAAGAAAAGGAGTGAATAATCTGAAACTGGATAACCGATCTCAAGATAATAATGTTAACAATACTTTAAAAATAAAGAGGGCAGTGGGAGCACCCCCGTGTCCATCAATGGATGAGTGGATAACCAAAATGTGGTATATAATACAACTGAATATTATTCAGCCTTAAAAAGGAAGGAAATTCTGACATATGCTATAACACGGACAAACTTTGAAGATACTATTCTAAGTGAAATAAGTCAGTGACAAAGAACAAATACTGTATGATTCCACATATATGAGGTACCAGAGTAGTCCAGTTTTCAGGGGTTGGGGGAGGGGAAATAGGACGTTTGTGTTAAATAGCTACAAAGTTTCATTTGAGGAAGAAGAAAAAATTCTGGGGATGAATGGTACTGATGGTTGCTCACCAATGTGAATATATTTAATGCCACTGAACTGTACCTACACTTAAAAATGGTTAACATGGCAAATTTTATGTATATTTAACTACAATTTTTAAAAAGATTAATCAAAATTTGAAAGGCAGAGCTTCTAAGCTTTTTTTTTTTTTTTTTTTTGAGAGGGGAGTTTTGAACCTTGCTTCCTAGTGTAATCAGATAAGCTCAGATTTCTTTTCCTACTAATTAGCGTCTTTGGGTAAGTCATTTAACTTGCTATTTCCACTGTAAAATGAGGATGCAGTGGTTCCTGCCCCAGAGGATCATAAGAGATCATATGTACAATAATGTTTTGCAAAATATAAATGCCTACACAAAAAAACGGGTTAATTGAAATTAAACAATAACTGATAGCTGCCATTTACTGACCTCTTGTCAGTGTGCTAAGAGTTTAATGTGCAATATATTATCTTAATTATCACAGCAATCATATGAACCTATTTGTTCTTTTTACAGATAATGAAGCTGAGGCTTAGAGAAGTTAAATAATTGCTCAAGGCCATATAGCTTGTAAATGACTAAACTGGCCTTAGAATACAGATCTGTTTCCTGGGCAGGTGCTGTTAACCACTGTAAAAATGATATTCTGTTTTAGTAGTTTCAAGGTCACTTTTGAGACTTACACTTTTAGGACTTATCTTTAACTGCTGACATCTTCATCTTAGTAGCAAAAAACACATTTGCTTATACTAAGAATTTTGCTACTAAGGTAGAGACAGTCTTTTAAAGAATTTGCAGAATATTTCTTTCATTTTTGTTTCTCTTTTACCATGTTTTTTTCTTAAACGAAACTTGCTCGTGTCCTAATATTCACTTATTCAAAAGTGTATTTATTAGTATTGCTTTAGACATCATTTTTATTTAGCATTTGTAGTGTTGCCCAGTTCATCATCATTTAAACATCTTTTGGGATCACTGAATAAAACCCTAAATTTTGTTAACTTAAACATACGCATTTTTGGCACCTAATGCAGTTCTTAGTTTGGGGTCCACGGTCACCTACAGTTCTGTGGATTGGCTTCCGAAAGTCAATGAACTCCTTAAGATCATACGAAAATGTTGGGTAGATAAATATATTGTTAAAGTCAGATTCTCAAAGTAACGTGATCTCATAGAAGGTTAAGAATCCTTTTCCTAAAGGGAAGTATTGTTTCTAAGGCCTGATACTGCAAAACTCAACTAGTGCGAGCATTTCCCTCTGGTGCCAGGTATGTAAATAGCAGTGACCAGTGGGAGCAACTGGAAGATTAAGATTTAGGGTCCTAAGTGAAGACGGACTCAGAACATTGTGTGTGTTTGACATATGAGTCCTCTTAGCCCAGTGGTTCTCTTGTCACTGCTGAGGACCCACTCAGAAGAGCTTTTTTTTCCCTTTTCTCATTTGCTGCCTCAGATTTGCTGTGGGTTTAGAAACCAAATCCTATGAGAATTGTGTCAGAGTGAAAAGGCCACATGAGATCCTAGGGGCTCTCCTATAGAGAAAGTTCATGACCTTTAGAGTGTGGCCTTGGGAAACCTATTTTGGTGACTTCACAGGCTCTTGGTAATTTCTGGACTTTAAACTGTTATGTATTGTACAGTTGAAATTAGAGAATAGCTGTAGTATTACTGTATTTTATTGGGAATTATATTGCCATTTTTAGATTAAGGTGTCACTTTGCCAAGTATGGTAGTATTTTTGACATATCAATGAAGAACATTAATTGATTGAATTCACTCTGGAAATAAAGAATAGTTACTGGCATAGGTGTTAACCCTACTAGAAAAAAATATGAGCAACCTAGAGCATCATCTAATCAAACTTCAGGAGTCTTAGATCAGACTGCTCAAATGATCATGAAAAGTTCCATTCCCTTTAAGAGCCTATACGTACTTTTTAATAAAACAGAATCCTGAATTTCTGAAAAATAAGTTATTTTCAGAGAGCCAACATTTAATCCCTGAGAAGTGGTCTCTAAGCAAGGGGACAAGGCTCTTCTACTGTTACTGTTAACATGTGAAACAAATAGCTTATCAAAAAACAGGTTGGGAGAGCATTTGAGATCTTGCTCCCCTGCATATGAGTATGTCGTCAGTTTGGCTCAAATAAACTTCTAAAGATTCAAAAAAAAAAGAAAAATAGGTGGCCATTTTTATGTCCTAAAAAGTTCAGGGAAGGACCAAGAATTATTAGATAAAATGCAGGCAAAAGCTACCATTAAAACAATGTTCCCATGAGAACCTCTGGTCAGAAGTCTTGAAACTTAGGTACTTGAGAGATTGCTAGATTTGTTAATGAAGTTACCTTGAGCTTTTATCCTTGACCTCAAATACTTGTGTATTTACTTGGTTTCATATGTGAGTTTGACTTCCTAGCTGTGTATCAATGCTTTCTAAAGCTTAAAGCTCAGCAACAGAGGTGCATATTGAGATAGTTATCCAAAATATCAGCAACAGAGGTGCATATTGAGATAGTTATCCAAAATATACCTTTTCGTGAAATTGAAAGGTGGAAACAGTTTTTATTTTTGTGTTAATTAATAATAGTACTAGTGCTCTTGCCCTATGGTTTTTCAAGTGATTTCGCATGTGCTCATCTCTGAACTTCAGCTTGCATCAGAATCACCTAGACAGCTTATTATTAAATTTCAGACACAAATTGCTGCTGACACCCTCAGAGTTTCTGATTTTGTAGGTCTGGGGTGGGGCTAGAGAACTTGGCATTTCTAACAAGTTCCTAGATGATGCTGATGCTGCTGGTCCAGGGACTACACTTTGGGGACCGTGCCCTTAAAGTAGTCCTCTGAGGCATATTGGGCAAGTTGTCATCCACATTTTGCAGAGTAATAAACTTAAAAAAATCAAAATGGTGCAGTGATTTTTGTTTTGTTTTGTTTTGCACAGGGGTTACATGATTTGTTATTGGTAGAACTAAACTAGAACCAGCATTTCCTATCTTCTAATCCAGAGCTCTTAAGATCTGCACTGGAAGTCCTGAGATGTGTGTGTGTGTGTGTGTGTGTGTGTGTGTGTGTGTGTGTGTGTGTGTATGTCATTGTATACATAGGAACATTTCTTTAGATAAATTTCTAGCAGTAGAATTTCTGGGCCTAATGGTATGTATATGTTAAAAATTTGACACATACTTCCAGAATGCTTTTTAAAAAGGCTTTGCCAATTTGCTCTTACCAGCTGTAAGGGTATATCTTTCCCTGTATCTTCACCAGCCCTGGTAATATTAATAATGACATTAAATAGCAGTCAATTTCTTAC